GCGGGGCGGGCGGGGGCGGCGGCTCGGGGGACCTTTACCGGCGCACGCCGGTTCCGAGCCTCGCCCAGCAGCGCCCGGCGCGCTCTCCCCACCCGCCGTGCCCAATCCAATCAGCGCCTGGCATCGCCTTAGCAACAGGCTAACAAACCGGGCTCCGCCTATCGCGGGCGGCCGGGGGCGGGGTCTCGCTGACCAGGCTAGTTTGAGAGCTGCACTTGAAGTCATTGAAACTCTTCCAGGCCGGGGCCGGCCACGCGCGGCGCGGCGCGGGCGCTCACTTTGCTCTACCGTGTCATCGGGGTGCAACGAATGAGGTGATGTGTGTGCCCACCACTCACTGTTCCACTTTTCCTCCATGATAAGTCTCAACTCCTTCAAGAAAAACCTTTGTTTCTTCTCGGCCGTTCTCTAAAAGGCCGCGGGGTCCAGGAAGGTTCAAGCACAAACTTAGGCGCCTGCTTTTTGGCACGGCCCGGGACTGTCACTTGGCATCTGCATTTCCTATCGACCCACACGCTTGGCGAGACCGGCTAGAAATTCGTTCCGGAGGTAACGCACCTCTGGGTGACTATCAAGATCCTACTCAGGAGTTGGTTTCACCTTAGTGTTTTCCAAAACGCTGCATGGACGCTGTAACCCCAAGCATCCTTCGTTGGCCTGAGCTCAATGAGCACCGACCTAGCATGTGCATTTTTAACATAAAAAAGGAGATTAAAATACGCCTCTAGTTCTGGAAAACCAGCATTCGGACTGAATACTGCATTAAAAAGGAGAAGCGCAAAAATTACATAACCAGTTTTAACATTATATTCTTCTTGGGCTGGGAATTAAGTCATCGCCACCACCTGACGCGTGTAACCAATCTGCGCAGAGCTCGGCAAGCGCCCCTCCTCACCACCCCCCAGAACTGGTCCGAAACAGGATTGAACCGCTTCTAACAAAGGGTGGAAACTTAGAAAAACAAGCTAAGAGTCGCCTAGATTTCCACAATGTAACCATTTAAACAACAGATTGGAAATCTCAGGACCCCCTCTCCCTCTGACAAGCCCGGATCTCCCTCTTAGAGGCGAAAATCAAATCCCGTGTGCCGGGGACTTTGCAATTCCACCGCACTGGCATGGGTTTCATTGAATGCACGGTCCAAAGTTAGACATGATCCTTGGGAAAAAAAAAAAAAAAGAAAGAGAGAGAGAGAGAAAGAAAAGGACTGACTCTGGATGGCTTTCCACACTGACTTGCTAGCTACACTACTGAGAGGTGCTAGCCTTTAAAAATAAAAAATGCTGGGTGGGAAAGAATAGGGGACAAACACGTGGGGGTGTTGCTACCATATGTCAAAATTACAGCAGCCTTTCATCAAAGGGCAGCGATCAGTAGTTTAAAGTCTTTTTTGCATGTCAGCGTGAAAACCAAACCCATCCCTGAACCTCCCTGAAAATCTTACTCCATTTTCCCCGCTGGAGCTCAGCGTTCAGATCTAAAGTCGGGAAAGTAAAAGGGTGGAGGGGAAAAAAAAAATCTAACACTGGACTGCAGCTTTCAGCGACCCATTCGAAGCCGCAGGAGCAGCACGCCCGAGCCGGAGCGCGTTCGGAGGTGCGGAGCCCGGGCCGGGCGCAGCGAGCGCCCGCCGCCCCGCGGATGCTGCAGGCTGGCTGCGCCCGCGGCCGCGGGGAAGCCGGCGCCGAGGAGCCGTCCCCAGACCCGGCGCAGCACTCACCTCTCTCGTGCCCGATGAGCGTGTCTTTGTAGTTGAAATACTCGACTTCTTCCGTGTAATTCTGCGTATAGGCAGTGTTGGAGCCGGCGTTTCTCGATTCCGTCCAGCGCACTTTCGCGTGTCCTCTGGCGTGGATTTTCAGAGATTTCACTCGAATTTCCCCCGTAACTTCTAAATTCACCCTTCCTGAGACGGTATCCCCGCTGGAGTACACGGGGACATTGCTGTCATTGAGACAGTCAAAGCTGATCGTCAAACTCTTCACCTTGCCCAGCACCATGGTTGTAACAAAACCTATAAAAATATAATGTAAGACCAAAAGGGGACAAACTCAAGATCGCATGTAAAATGTGATCTTCAGACACTGATCGATGTCTTTGCCGTGCAGAAAGAAAAAAAAAAAAA